GGGCAGGGATTGTGAAAGGGGGTGGAGCAATTGGGTGGGAGGGAGGGGAGGGGCCTGGGTTCAGGGTGGTGGGCGGGGCTTGAGGGAAATGGGCGGAGCTTCCACCTTCATGAGGGTCAATGGGAGGTGGCGTTTCCCTTGGGGGCGGGGCTTAATGGGAACTGGGTGGAGCTTTCACCTTCAGGAGGGTCAATGGGAGGCGGGGTTTGGCCTTGGGGGTGGGGCTTAAAGGAAGTGAGTGGAGCTTCCACCTTCATGAGGGTCAATGGTGGGTGGGGCTTCTGCTTGGGGCGGGGCTTAAGGAAACTGGGCGGAGCTTCCACCTTTATTAGGGCCAGTGGAAGGCGGGGTTTGTGCTTGGGGCGGGGCTTAAAGGAAGTGGGCGGAGCTTCTACCTTCATGAGGGTCAATGGGAGGCGGGGTTTGCCCTTGGGGGCGGGGCTTAAAGGAACCAGGAGATGCTTCTACCTTCCTGAGGGTCAATGGGAGGTGGGTCTTGCCCTTGGGGGCGGGGCTTTGGAGCGGAGGAGGCGGGGTCTGGGCAGGGCGTGTCCCGGGCGGGGCGGGTGACGCGGTGCCGTCTGTGCCAGGCCGGCGGTGCCAGAGCTGTCGGAGCAGTCGGTGCGGGCGCTGCTGCGGGAGGTGATGGCCACCGCCGACCTGGAGAGCGTCACCTCCAAGGAGGTGGGTGCCACCAAGCTGGGGGGCATGAGGGGTGCCCCTGGTGGGCCGAGGACCTGGCTCGTGGGCAGGGGGCAGGCAGGGGGTCCATCCCTCACCCCACGGCCGTGCCCAGGTGCGGGAGGAGCTGGAGCGACGCACGGGGCACAGCCTGGCCCAGCACAAGGACTTCATCGACAACGAGATGCTGCTGGTGCTGGCGCAGATGGACCGGCCCTCCCGGGTCTTCCCACACCTCTACCTGGTGGGCAGCGGGGCGAGCAGGGTGGGCAAAGGGGGGTGCAAGGGTGTCCCCACCCCTCACCGGTGCCACCACACAGGGCTCTGAGTGGAACGCGGCCAACCTGGAGGAGCTGCAGCAGAACCGGTGAGCGTGGGGTGGCACGGGGCCATCTGGGGTGGCACAAGGTCATCTGGGGTGTGACAGTGGGGTGGGCATAGGGCCATCGTGGAGCAGCTTGGTGGGGTGCATGGGGTCATGTGGGATGTGATGGTGGGGTGGCATAGCATCATCTGGGGTGTGATGGTGGGGTGGGCATAAGGCCATCATGGAGCAGCTCGGTGGGGTGCATGGGGTCATGTGGGAGGTGATGGTGGGGTGGCACAGTGTCATCTGGAGTGTGATGGTGGGGTGGGCATAGGTCCATCGTGGGGTGTCATGGGGTTATCTGGGATGTCCTGGTGGGGTGGCACAGGGTCATCTGGAGTGTGACGGTGGGGTTGGCGTAGGTCCATTGTGGGGTGTCATGGGGTTATCTGGGATGTCCCAGTGGGGTAGGCATGGGGCCATCATGGAGTGTCATGGTAGGGTGGCACGGGGTCATCTGGGGTGTGATGGTGGGGTGGGCATAGGACCATCATGGGGTGGCACAGTGGGGTGGCACTGGATCATTTGGGGTGTCATGGTGGGATGGGCATAGGGCCATCGTGGGCTGTCATGGTGGGGTGGCCAGGAGTCATCTGGTGTTTCACAGTGGGGTGGGCATAAGGCCATCGTGGGGTTTCATGGTGGGGTGACACTGGGTCATCTGGGGTGTCATAGTGGGGTGGGCATAGGGCCATCATGGATTGTTGTGGTGGTGCAGGTATGAGGTCATCATGAAATGGATCAATGGGGTGCATAGGGGGTCATCAGGGGACACTGGTGGGGTGGGCATGGGGTCATTGGGGGCACTCATTGAGCTGGGCAAGGGGGGTCTTTGTAGGGCACCCACCAAGGTGGGCATGGAGTCATCACGGGACACTTGGCAGGGTGGGTGCAGCAGGGCTGTGGCCCTGCGTTGGGACGGGCCTGGGGGACTGTGGGGCACCCCATGGAGCACGGGCAGACCCCTAACCCTGTGTGCTGTCTGTGCCCCCCGCCCGTGGCACCGTAGGGTCACCCACATCCTGAACGTGGCACGAGAGATCGACAACTTCTTCCCGGCGCTCTTCACCTACATGAACGTGCGGGTGTACGACGAGGAGACGGCCCAGCTCCTGCCCCACTGGAACGACACCTTCCTCTTCCTCTCCCGTGTCCGGTCAGTGGGGCCAAGGCAGCCCTGGGGCACGGGGTGGGGGGCCATCAGAGGGGGTGTGGGGAGCATGGAGGGGCTGGGGATGGAGCCAGGGGCAGGCTGGAGGGGGGGTATGTGGGATGCCTGAGGTGCTGGGGGGCATCGGGGCACTGGGAGCCCTGGGGACACTGGGAGAGAGCACTGGGAGCTGGTCCCTGTGGACACTGGGAGCCCTGGGGAC